AGAACAATGCTATGAAATATGAATACTTCTAAACATTTGTATAAAAGTAGTATAAAATTTACCTATACAGTGTACCGCCTGTATCGCCTCGCCTGTCTTTCATCAGGAGTACAGGACGAAAATTCAAAATATGTAGAAAATTAGAAATGTTGTAATATAGCACCTTATTCCCACCCAACCTTCAATTTACGGTGACGATCGACGACTTTCTATGAAATTGATAGCATCGTTAAAATTACGTGTTCTATTTTCGTACTACATCAGTCTATATCTATCATATCTATTCGTATAATTTATATTATCAATAGGTATATAATATAAACAATTCCGACAAAATAGTTGTGAGCACGTGACATGTTCTACATCCAATAAAATATTATTATTGTTTATTATATAGTATGGGATAAACTATACAAGAGTCGAAAGCTTAAAATAGTTTTATGTTCTTTATACATATATTATATACATAATAATTGACATTGGTACCTATTGGTCGTTATGAGAATGTATTAGTCAGTGGCAGTGTGGCACGATCACCCACCAGTGGGTAGCATTAATATATCACTAGTGCCCCGTACTTTGTATGTTAAAATATGCAATGAACAAACCTATCATGAAACTTGATGGTAATTACACTATCTGTGTTTTATTGGAAGTTCAAATACTATAATTCATTTATGAGCACTTTTATTTTACAATTTATTACACACGCATAACTCACTTAAAAAACTGAATTATTGTAAAAAAAAAACAGATAATGTTCTTACCATCAAGTTTCATGAGAATTTGTTAGATAGAGTTGCTATTTTATGCGTTTCTAAGACTGAGACAACAAATGTAACAAATGTGGGTGAGGCATCTTCTTAAGAGAATTTCTTAACAGTATGTACTGTTACTATCTTATACAGACATAACATAGAAAATATATTTAACAAATTTTTACTACAGACTGTTAATAGTCAAGGGGATTTGATTCTGTGATTTTCTGTCTTTGTCTATCACACCCTGGGCATATGATTTTAGTCATGTTATATGTCAAAAGTACCAATTTACCTTATGAAGCTATAAGAGTTCTAAAAACAGATTTGAGATGATCATCAAGTATGTTGAGTCTGTTTTAAAACAAAGACAGAAAATCACGGTTAGGTTAATATTAGAACAGCCTTATATATTGGATTGTTGAGGAGAATATAAACAATATATTTGGTATGTTACATGTGTGTAAGACTAAAATTACATGGGGATACCTGGATACCATTTCCTATATTTATAGAAAAAAAAAACTAAAAAAGTTGAAAAATTAAAATGTCAGTAAACAGCTCAAAACAAATCTAAATATTTTGAAAATTTTATCAAATATAGAAAATGCCTATATAAACATTCAGTCAAAACTTCAAGTATCTGCGGTCATTTGTTTTAGAGCTACACCAAAATAAGAAAATCACTAAATGTGAAATA